CATACGCCTGTTTTTCCTCATCTTGAATGAGCTGAAATGAGTTCTTATGAATGTTACATGTACTGTAGGTGTATGATGTTTTGCACTGGTTTATAATCGCCAACATTGTTTTGTGATCATGTGTTTTTGGATTAAGCCTTAGGAATACTTTAACCCCATGTTTTCACAGTGTTGATTTTTACATCTGAATACATGTACAATAAAAGCCTTTTTAAGCACAATTCATAATTTAAATGATTATCAAAGGGTGCATTAAAATCTTTACATAACGTTTAAAGATTTTGATGAAATCAGCATCAATTTTATTTACTTAATGTGCTCAAAAATTAAGATTTATGTATTTTAATTGCATCTAATTGCATATTGGATTATACGGTTTTAACATAAAGAAACTAATGACAAATAAATGTGATGCGTGAATGAAACGGGTCAGATTCTCCATTCAAAAAATCACGGCGTAGTTCATTAACTATTTGCATCTGTTAAAAAAAACTAAATCTAAATATATTTATCAAAATACATTTATTCAAATTGTTCAGAATCAGCATAAATCTGTTTGTTACAAAAACAATTCGATTTATTCAGTTAAAAAGTATAAATAAGGCAGTACAACAAAAACTGATGTGTGTGTGTGTGTATATATATAGATATATTAAGGGATTTTATATAATTTAGTATTTAATAAAAATAGAGAGAAAATTGTAACATGAATTTATTATGAATTCTTAATTAATTTATAAATGTGTGTGTGGGGCAAAAAAGTATTTAGTCAGCCACCAATTGTGCAAGTTCTCCCACTTGTATATATATATATATATATATATATATATACACACACATACATACACATTTAATATAATTTAGTATTTAATATAAGTACAGGTTAAATTATATATCATTATTGTATTACAATAAAGAAAAATACATATTTGTTGTATTATAGTATGAGAATTGGAGTTTAAAAGAAAATCTTTATGGTCCTTTGAATATACTGCTTTATTATGCAAAATATTCTTTTTTTATTTTTGGTGGGAAATATGTGCTGAACATATTTTTCACAGTTTCTTATGCATATATTCAGATTTGCATATTGCACAAGCATTGCTCTTTCATGTTTTCAGGCGTACGTAAGCAGTTCTGTTGTTATTTTCATGCATGGCAACAGTTGGATGACTTGCTTTATGGCCATAAAATGTATGATATATATGATATATGATAGTGTGAAATGTAAATGAACTTGGACGGTATGTTTTGTTCCTGGACGGGGAACACGTGTCTTTGTTTTTGTCTGTGGTTCCTCCTACATTCGGAGGGAACTGTTTGTGCTCCTCTGCTGAAGTACATCTGTGAAGTTTGGCTTCCCTCCAACAAACCTCCAGTTGCATTATATTTGTGTATTATGTGCATGAACTTAAATAAAAGCCCAACTAGCGAATCTTCACTCAATCTCCAGGAGAGAGTTTCACGTAATAGATTTCTTGAGATTTCAAAACTTTATTTGCTTTGGTTGCTTAATTCTTTGTCCTGAAGAAACTGTTTATTATTAAACGCAGTTAAAGTGGTCAAAGGCTTTCATTCAAATGGACAAACAGCATTAGGTTTTAACCCTGGAAACCTTGCAGCCATTATTGCAGCACTTCGTAGAAGTTGTAAAGATTATTATACAACTGTAAAAACATGTTTTTGATCCAAAGCAACCTGGTGTTGTAATTTTAGTCACCCTCCAGTTCACCCTCTTTTAGGATTAAACTTGCAACTTAGTTATAGATAAATACTGAGAAGAATTTTTGCCAAAGCTTTTTCCCAAAGTAACCACATTTATGAGTACATCTCTATAATCCTGCGTATGAGCAATAACAAAACTAACAAAAACTAATTGTGACACTATTTGTGTGTGTGCTGCATGGAAATATATAAGCCTATGGAAGCCTCTTTCTGTCAGAGGATAAAAAACAAACAAACTGCAACTTCATATCTTACAATTCTGACCTTTTTTCTCACAACAGCGAGATGTAATGTCAGAATTGTGAGTTGAAAAGTCAGAATCACGAGACGTAAAGTCAGAATTGCAAGATATAAAGTCAGAATTGTGAG